CGTGCCATTGCCGACGCTGCGGAGCCCCTGCATGCTCCTGCCGCGGCCGACGGAGAGAGTCGGCGGAAAAGGGCCGGCCCCAGCAGACAGACTCGTCTCCTTCGGTCTCTCTGCGCTGATCTGCTCCCTGACTCCATCCCTAACCTTCTCGCTCGTCGTCTTCCGAAGTGGATATTTGATCAGCAATTGCCTGATGCTGCGGGGATTGCCAATCGTTGGTCGGCTCTCAAAGCTGTGCTTTCCTCCCGTCCCCCATCTTTCGTTTGGCCCCATCTCAAGACTCTCGCGGGAGCGTGGATCACTTCCTCGCGCGTCGGAATTTTGACTCCCAAAGGATGCCGTTTCGGGTGCAGCGAAGAGGTCCTAGGGATCGAAGTTCGCGCACCAGACTCGATTGGCCACTATCTTCGGTGTCCTCGTCTCTCTCATCTGTGTGCTCTCCCACGAGCGGTGATACCACAGGACCCGCTGATCCGTTTCGGGCTAGGACCAGCATCTGCCTATAATGTAGCTTGTGAGTATGATCCCATCGATATCTGTCGGTGTAATCATCTCTGTGTCCTTGCGTTCCATATATATCATAAATTAAGGTGTGAGCTCGCTGCGAACCCGCACCTCCAAGGAACCTACACCACGTCTTTTCGCGCCAGGCATGCAGCCCTGACGTGCATCGACACCAATGCGGCAGCGAGAGCTTCCGCCAGGCAGCCGCCCCGTCGTGTTGCTCATGCCCCTGCTGCCCTCGTGCCTCATCCTCCTCCAGGGCTGGAGGGCAGCGGAGTGTTTACCCCCAACTAGAGTGACCTTCCTGGGACGCACCTCAGAGGGTACGTGCGCTCCTCCTCCTCCTCCTCCTCCTCCATCTCCTCCTCCTCCTCCTCTTTCTCCTCCTCCATCTCCTCCTCCTGCCTCCTCCCTCCTCCTCCTCCTCCTCCTCCTCCTCCTCCTCCTCCTCCTCCTCCTCCCCTCCTCTCCTCCTCCTCCTCCTCCTCCTCCTCCTCCTCCTCCTCCCCGTCCTCCTCCTTCTCCTCCTTCTCCTTCTCCTCCTCCTCCTCCTCCCCCTCCTCCTCCTCCTCCTCCTCCTCCTTCTCCTCCTCCACCTCCTCCTCCTCCTCCTCCTCCTCCTCCTCCTCCCCCTCCTCCTCCGACGACGGCGACGATCTGATTTTTCCAATCTGAGAGTTGTTCCTCGATTTTGGCGTCGGGGGCCCGCGATCGAGCCCCCTGGGGCGTTCAAAGATGGATCCGGAGCGAGAAGAACAGAAGAACTACTCCCTGGGAAGGGGTCGGGACCTCTGGGGTCGCGCACTGACAACATCACATCCTTGCAAGCCTTGGGCCCAGGGTGCCGACAGCTTCCCTCTACAGTCCTCCCTTCGCCCCAGCTTTCGGCGCAGGGCCCGTTTCCCTCGGGCACTCTCTTCGTGCAGAAACCAGCTTCAGAGGTTCCGCCTATTGGACGACCCTGCGGGGAAGGCTAAGATGTAAGTCGGGCGTGTCCTTCCACAGGAGGAATATTCCAAAATAGTCAAAACAAAAGTCTGGGAGACAATTTTTCGTTCATCTTTGGGACGTGTTTAGCACTTGTTTGATGTTTTTTATTTTTCTCCCCAGATCCGCCTGTAGGGGACATGCCCGACTTAAGCTAGGATTCGTAAGCCGGCTCTTCGACGTTGCTCGGAGACGAGCTCGTGTGCGCCAGCGGACATCGCGGCCGAGCTCCCTCGCCTCCGGATCACGGCGCTTCGGGAGGAGGAGTAGGAGGAGGAGGAGGAGGTGGAGGAGGAGAAGGAGGAGGAGGAGGAGGAGGGGGAGGAGGGAGAGGAGGGGGAGGAGGAGGAGGAGGAGGAGAGGAGGAGGAGGAGGAGGAGGAGGAGGGAGGGGGGGGGAGGAGGAGGGAGGGGAGAGGAGGGAGGAGGAGGAGGAGGAGGATGAGGAGGAGGAGGAGGAGGAGGAGGAGGAGGGCGGAGGAGAGGAGGAGGAGGAGGAGGAGGGAGGAGGGGAGGGAGAGGGAGGAGGGAGGAGAGGAGGAGGAGGAGGAGGAGGAGGAGGAGGAGGAGGAGGAGGAGCAGGAGCAGGAGGAGGAGGACCCCCTCCCCCTCCTACGTATGGTGGTGGCGGGGGCCAACGAGCCCGCCAGAGACGCCATTGAGGTCCCGACGACAGCGCGACGTCACGTGAGCCGCCCCTGGGCCGCACGCGCAGCGTCCGCGCCGCACGCGCGCCCCCCTCGGGGGTGGCGCACGCAGGCCGCCCGCGGGGGCGCGAGAGCGCCTGTGCCCCTGGCATCGCTCGGACATGTGCATTTTTTCTCGGCGAGGGCCATCGAGGAGCATTGTTAATCATTTGGCGAAAAAACCACGCACGAAACCCAAAAAAACACAGGGAATGGACGTCCGAGCGATGGCCAGTGCCCGCCCGCACACTCGACCGGGATGGTGAGGATGCGCGGCAAGGGATGCGTCGTCAGGATGTGAAGATCGGACCGAACGAGCCGATCATCGGGCCGATGGTGGCGCCAATGGGATCTCATGTGGCCCTGATTATGTTCATCGCTGGGCCGGCCTTGCTGGCAAGCACATCTTGTTTTGGGGACTGGCAGCCCCAGTTCAGTTTCCATACGTGCGGCAAGGATGCAAAGGGCCTTGGAACGCCGTGTTGACGTTTTCCGTGCGGAGCGCAGCAGAATGCCGAAGGATGCCGACCACCGAAGGGGCAGGGATGCAAGGGTAGCCTTGGAGGGTTGCCCCATCGTTACTATCATGGTTGACCGTACAGTGCCTTTTCTATTACATGCTCCGCGTTCGGATCATGTATTAAATATGCAGGGATTTAGTACTAAAAACAACGAGGAGTTCATGGCTACATGTATTCATAAATTACTCATGTATTACAAATCCGATATTTTATTTAAAAAAACCGATGTATTAAAAACTGCCCTGCAGGGGACGTCCCTCTCCTGTCGGGTGTTTTTTTTGGGGGGGGGGTCTTGGGGGGAAACTCAAAGAGTAGGTGGCATTTGGGCGCCCTGCGATCGAAGAACTGTTTGTTGTTGCTATGTTGTGGAACCCCTGGGCGCCCTTTGGGCGCCCGTATTTGTTTTTGCTACGATTGTCAGAATCACAAACAATTCAAACACCAGAACAACACAAAGTGCCCCTGGCCCGAGGTGCCTCCAGAATCTCCAAGGGGACAGCCCCCACGAGGCCCAGGGGGGGCCAAGATGGAGCAACCAGCTGGGGATACCTTGGGCCAGGGACACCTTTTCGGCTGCGAGCCCGCGGGAAGTGAGAAGGCGGGCCTTCTCAGAAGGCTCGGAATACTCCCTGCCCTGGGAGAAGTTGTCTGGGCCTCCCCCGAAGACGCAGCAAACTTCTCTCAGAAGGCCGGAGGGCTTCTGAGAAGCTTCGTCGCCTTCTGAGAAAACCTTCTCCTTCTCACTTCCCCCCTCGCTCGCCGCGGATAAACAAGGAACGAGGCCTCTTCTTAGCACTGGAGGAGCATTGGTGCACGAGGACGGCTAGAGGAACGACCACGGGCACGGGATGCCCCAGGGAACAGCGGGCCCCGTCCGAAGGCAGAGCGGTCCTGCGTCCAGCGGTCCTGATTCCAGAAGGGCTTCTCCTCCTCACTTCCCCCCTCTCGCTCACCGCCGACCTCTCGCAGCTCGTGTGCGCCAGCGGACATCGCGGCCGAGCTCCCTCGCCTTCGGATCACGGCGCTTCGGAAGGAGGAGGAGGATGAGGAGGAGGAGGAGGAGGAGGAGGAGGAGGAGAAAGAGGAGGAGGAGGAGGAGGAGGAGGAGGAGGAGGAGGAGGAGGAGGAGGAGGAGGAGGAGGAGGGGGAGGAGGGGGAGGAGAAGGCCTTCTCGCACCCGCGACTCGGGGAGTGCCCCGCAGCGCACGCGCGGCGCGCCCGCGGCGGCTGCTCGCCTGCGGCCCGCGGCACCCGCCGGGGGGCGGCGGGCGACGAGCCGCTCGCCCTCGGCCGGCGGGCTCGGCCTGCGCGCGCAGCCCGCCCCCGGCCCCGCGCAGAGCCGCGGCCAGAGGTTTCTCTCCAGGCCTCCTAGACTCGGCATCGCTCGGGCGTGTGCATTTTTTCTCGGCGGGAGCCATCGAGGACCATCCTGGACCATCGAGCAAGGAAAACACGCACGAAACCGAAAAATGCACGCGAAATGGACGTCCGAGCGATGGCAAGTAGATGGGGTCGGGGTAGGTGGGGTCGGTGGATCGCGCCGCATCGCCGATGCATCGACGATGCGGCTCGGTGCGGAGCCAGATTTGCTCCACGTCGACGTCGCCGATGCATTGCCGACGTCGACGGTGCGTCGCCAGGGCATCCCCGATGTATCGGCGATGTGGCGCGATCCTCCGACCCCATCTACTCGGACCCCATCTAGGAGGCCTATATTCTCGGGGGCGGCAAAGAGGGGGGTGATGACCAGGGGGGGATCTCATGGCGGGGACCATGAGATCTCCCCAGATTTCATCGCGCCTCCTTTCATTTCAGCATGTCCATATCCCTGGCCCCCCCCCCTGTGGGCCGCACACGTGCCGCCGGCCATGGTTTGCGCCCCCCCCCCCCCTCTTGGACGCCCCCTTCTCGGCCGCCCCCGAGTTTCGTTGAACCGACCCCTGTCCCCGATGTTCATCCCCAGACAGTGCTCGCGTCGGGAGGAAACCAAAAAAAGCAGGACGGGACATGTTTCGCAATTTCAGGCCTCTGGAGGGCCCTCGCCGGGCCCTGGGGCCGTCAAACAAAGGACTCGGGATGAGGCACAGGTCCTGGCCTCTGGGGACCACGTATTGGAACAAAAAGGGTCCCCATCCCCATCCCTGATTATCCAGACCCCCACCATCTCAGCACCCCAGTTGGGGATAGACCCTTCGATATATGAAGGAAACAGCCCATATCCTTATTTTTTGGTGGGTAAGTCGGCCAGGGGGGCCATGCCCCGCCCATGGGGATAGGGGGTCTGTTAAACGGTGCTCGCAGAGGTCATCGACCGGAACGGGGCGTTCAAGGGGCTCGTCTCCCGCTGCGGCCTCATCCAGGCAGGGCCCATCTCGATTCGATCGGTCTTGGGATCCGAGGAGGACAAGCGAATTACCCATTGCCGCTACCGTTCCCTCGTTCTCGCTTAGCTGGGCCTCTTGGGAGGCCCTCGTCGCCACCGCTGGATTCGCCTCGGGATTCTGGTCAGAACGCACCTTGGGAGAGGTCTGGGGAGTAGCGGCATCTTTCCCCAGATCCTAGGAGGGCACCAACTATACACCCACGGTAGGTTCGCGTCGTGTCGACTGGCGGCGACCCCGCTGCGGGCGTTCAAGGTTGATCTCCGCCAGTGACCCAGAATCGGCCTGCATGGAACGATCGGGCGATCGGAAAGCCGCCGATCGATCAAGGATGAACGAACCATGCGGTGTCAGAAGCCAACGCAGGGGTCGCCACAGCATGAATTTGCCGTATATCAGCTCAGGCTTTCATCACGCGCCTTCACCGCGCCCGCTGACTAGGCATTAGAGCCACCCAGGTACCCGTCGGTCGTTCAAACTAGGTATTTCTGAACTTCCACTTGCCAATCTTTTTCAGGCGCCGTCCTACTTCAATCATCGAGTGTGTTGTCATTGAACTTCTTCTTCAGGGGGTTGTGGGAAAGCCGCCGATCGTACAAGGTTAAACAATCGAGACGGTGTCAGACACCAGCGCCAGGGTCGTCACGATACGAACCTGGCGTACAGGATCGGTGAGGCAACTACATGCACCGATTCTGAGCACAGTATCGGCCCTGCCAGGATCTTGGTGCAGGTGTGCAGAGCTGGGTGCCCTCCGAGATCCGAGTTGGTGTCGAGCTCACCCAGCTCGATCCGATTCGATCTCGCCTTCCCGGGTTCACGCAGCTCTCTCCGATTCGATTGTAGTGGCCTTCGGCCAGTGCCGCCGATCCGGGGCGCTCCGACTGATGTGATCCTTCTTCGCCCTCGTCCCTCCTCTCTTTTTCCCTCCCCTCCTCTCACTCAGCATTTATCGAAGACGCCTACGGCGAATCACCGCCGCCCCCTGCCCTTTCGGAAGCGCCGATGCGGCCGACTGCTGTGGCCAGAGGTCTGCCAAGTTATTGGGCCATATGTTCCCCGAATCGGTCTTTACAGCCTTCGGGGAACACGTGGGGGAGGACGGGGAGGAGAGGAGAGATAGGAAGGGGGGGAATGGAGGAGGAGGTCTCTTGAGTGCCTTTTTGGCTACTCTGGGTTTATATTGGGCCACATGTGCGGTCTTGGAAGCATCTTGGGGGCCTCTTTGGATGCCTTGCGGCCTTCCTGTTCTGCCTGACGCCGTCTGGGCTGGGTTGGGGGCCTCTCTGTGGCCTCACTTGGGTTTATCGTGGCCGTAGTGGACGCCAGCGTGGGCGTTTGGGAGATCTGCCGGGCCGTCTTGGGGCTGTCTTTGGGGCCGTTTTGGGGCTTGCTTGTGCCGTCTAGGGCGTTCTTGGAGGCCTCTTGGACTGTTCTGGGGCGCTCTTGGAGGCTTATTGGGATGTCGCGGAGTTTTGGAAAGCCGAAAAGACGATATACACAAGATCTGTTCGGACCAATATGAAATCAATGATTTTAACCTATTCGGGCCTTCCTGGAGGGCGTCTTGGAGGGCTCTTGGGCCGTCTTGGAGGCCTTTTGCCGGCCTTTTGGGCCGTCTTAGACCATCTTGAGGCCATCTTGGACCGTCTTGGGTGCATCTTGGAGCCATCTTACCCGTCTTGGAGGCCATCTTGGCCGTCTTGGAGGCATCTTGGAGGCCATCTTGGGCCATCTTGGCCGTCTTGGAGGCCATCTTGGGCGTCTTGGAGGCCTCTTGGGCCGTCTTGAGGCCCTCTTGGGGCCTTCTTGGGGGCCTCTTGGGCCGTCATGGGGCCATCTTGGAGGCCTCTTGGGTGCTGTTGGGGCGATGTTGGGGACCTCTTGGGCCGTCTTGGGCCGTCGGAGAGCTGAAAAGAAGAACATGCCAAAATCCTTGAAAAACCTAAGGAAAATCAATGATTTTAACCTATTCGGGCCTTCCTGGAGGGCGTCTTGGAGGGCTCTTGGGCCGTCTTGGAGGCCTTTTGCGGGCCTTTTGGGCCGTCTTAGACCATCTTGAGGCCATCTTGGGCCGTCTTGGGTGCATCTTGGAGCCATCTTACCCGTCTTGGAGGCCATCTTGGCCGTCTTGGAAGCATCTTGGAGGCCATCTTGGGCCATCTCGGCCGTCTTGGAGGCCATCTTGGGCCAAGTTGGGGCAACAAAGGCATTGACAGATGGATTTTCGGAAACTTGCGGGTGGTCGGCGGGACGGGCCGAAGCCCACTGGGGAGTTCTTTTAGAAAAAGAACCAAAACCAAAACCTGAAACATCCAGCACGCCGTGCACCCCTGTGGCAAGACCACAGGGGGCGGCGGACCGATCCGGGGCGCTCCGACTGATGTGATCCTTCTTCGCCCTCGTCCCTCCTCTCTTTTTCCCTCCCCTCCTCTCACTCAGCATTTATCGAAGACGCCTACGGCGAATCACCGCCGCCCCCTGCCCTTTCGGAAGCGCCGATGCGGCCGACTGCTGTGGCCAGAGGTCTGCCAAGTTATGGGACCATATGTTCCCCGAATCGGTCTTTACAGCCTTCGGGGAACACGTGGGGGAGGACAGGGAGGAGAGGAGAGATAGGAAGGGGGGAATGGAGGAGGAGGTCTCTTGAGTGCCTTTTTGGCTACTCTGGGTTTATATTGGGCCACATGTGCGGTCTTGGAAGCATCTTGGGGGCCTCTTTGGATGCCTTGCGGCCTTCCTGTTCTGCCTGACGCCGTCTGGGCTGGGTTGGGGGCCTCTCTGTGGCCTCACTTGGGTTTATCGTGGCCGTAGTGGACGCCAGCGTGGGCGTTTGGGAGATCTGCCGGGCCGTCTTGGGGCTGTCTTTGGGGCCGTTTTGGGGCTTGCTTGTGCCGTCTAGGGCGTTCTTGGAGGCCTCTTGGACTGTTCTGGGGCGCTCTTGGAGGCTTATTGGGATGTCGCGGAGTTTTGGAAAGCCGAAAAGACGATATACACAAGATCTGTTCGGACCAATATGAAATCAATGATTTTAACCTATTCGGGCCTTCCTGGAGGGCGTCTTGGAGGGCTCTTGGGCCGTCTTGGAGGCCTTTTGCCGGCCTTTTGGGCCGTCTTAGACCATCTTGAGGCCATCTTGGACCGTCTTGGGTGCATCTTGGAGCCATCTTACCCGTCTTGGAGGCCATCTTGGCCGTCTTGGAGGCATCTTGGAGGCCATCTTGGGCCATCTTGGCCGTCTTGGAGGCCATCTTGGGCGTCTTGGAGGCCTCTTGGGCCGTCTTGAGGCCCTCTTGGGGCCTTCTTGGGGGCCTCTTGGGCCGTCATGGGGCCATCTTGGAGGCCTCTTGGGTGCTGTTGGGGCGATGTTGGGGACCTCTTGGGCCGTCTTGGGCCGTCGGAGAGCTGAAAAGAAGAACATGCCAAAATCCTTGAAAAACCTAAGGAAAATCAATGATTTTAACCTATTCGGGCCTTCCTGGAGGGCGTCTTGGAGGGCTCTTGGGCCGTCTTGGAGGCCTTTTGCGGGCCTTTTGGGCCGTCTTAGACCATCTTGAGGCCATCTTGGGCCGTCTTGGGTGCATCTTGGAGCCATCTTACCCGTCTTGGAGGCCATCTTGGCCGTCTTGGAAGCATCTTGGAGGCCATCTTGGGCCATCTTGGCCGTCTTGGAGGCCATCTTGGGCCAAGTTGGGGCAACAAAGGCATTGACAGATGGATTTTCGGAAACTTGCGGGTGGCCGGCGGGACGGGCCGAAGCCCACTGGGGAGTTCTTTTAGAAAAAGAACCAAAACCAAAACCTGAAACATCCAGCACGCCGTGCACCCCTGTGGCAAGACCACAGGGGGCGGCGGATCCAGTGGCCGTCGGCCTATCCCGCCACCGTGCGTGGGTGGTGGGTCAGAGGCCTCATGGATGCTGGTTGGGATCTCGTGGTTGGCTGGGACTTCTGGGGGCCTCTTGGGCGCCTCTTGGGGCTTCTTGGGGGCCTCTTGGGCCTCTTGGGGCCACTAGAGGGCCTCTTGGGGGTCTCTTGGGAGCCTCTTGGGGCTTCTTGGGGGCCTCTTCTGCGCCCCTTGGGGCCTCTTGGAGGCCTCCTCGGAGCCTCTTGGTGCGGGATGGGTGATACTCGAGTTCGGAACCCCCTCGGAGGCCACGATCCTTGTGAGGGGTGTCAAAAACGCATCCGCCGGAAACTCGCCCCCCCCCCCCCCCACCCCCCCTTCCCCGGCAGAGCCACCCCGGCAACCCCCCCAGAGGCTGAGGCTCAGCCTCGAGGCTGTAGTTGAGACTCCTTGAAATTGTTGTCGCTTCGCGAATCCCCACCAGCCCATCCAGAAACGATGCCCAGAGGAATTGCCTCGATCAGAGAAGTGGGCAGCACACAGAGGAAGCCATTATGAGACATCTTGGGATATCTTGAGCCATCTTGGAGGTCATTTTGGGCTCTCCCAGACGCTCTTGGAGTCATCTTAATCCGTGCCCCCCCCCAAGAGGCCTCCATGTGGCTAAAACCTGTGTAGAATCAATGATTAGGCATTCTCGCCGAGGCCTCTTGGAGCATCTTGGGTGCATCTGGGGGGGCTCTTGGGGCCTCTTGGGGGTCTCTTGGGGGCCTCCGGGGGGCCTCTTGGGGGCCTCTTGGGGCCATTTTGGGGCCATCTTGGGACCTCTTGGGGCTTCCTGGGCGCTTCTTGGGGCCATCTTGGAGGGAGTCGATCAAACAAGAGGGGGGGGTGAATTAGCGTCCCCCCTCGGAAGCCCCTAAAATCGCCTCTTGGACCCCTCTTGGAACGCTCTTGGAGTGCTCTTGGGCGCTCTTGGGGCCGTCTTGGGGCTCTTTTGGGGCTCTCTTGGGGCCCTCTTGGGCCATCTTGGAGCCATCTCCAGGCCTCGGATGGCCATCGGAAGCGAAAAGGCGAGAAAGCAAAAATCATTGATTTTCCTTAGGTTTTGGGACGATTTTGGCCTCTTCGGGGCCTCCTTGGGGAGCTGTTTGGCCACTTGGAGTTATCTTGGGGCCGTCTTTGGGCTTCTTGGAACCATCTTAGGAGCCATCTCGAGCGATCTTGCGCTATCTTGAGCCATCTTGGAGCTCATCTTGGGTTCTCTGAGGCGCTCTTGGAGCCGTCTTGGGCCATCTGGGACGCTCTAACTACCCGCGGCCCCCCCCGTCCAGGTCCAGGGGAGGGGGT